ATGAAATGGGACTTTTGGTAGATATTCCCAAAGCGGGATTTGGGAATACCAATGACGGAAACACTTCAAGACGATTTTTTTGCCAACCCGGAATGTTCTTCTCGGATAACTGGAATCAATTTAGATTTGATAGTTAAATTCAAAATTATACTTGAAGTGATTTCGAGTGGCTATAGCATTGATCCTGTTAAATTTGATACATTTGCACTCGAAACTGCAAAAATGTATATAGATCTGTATGGTTGGCATCCCATGACACCAACTATACACAAAGTCTTGGTTCATGGTGCAGCATTGATAACTCATGCAATTCTACCAATTGGCCAGCTATCGGAAGAGGCATCTGAGGCCCGCAACAAGCACTATCGGCAATACAGATTGCATTTCGCTCGAAAATTTTCACGAGTGGATTGCAACAGAGATATATTGCATAGGCTGCTACTTAGTTCAGATCCATATATAAGTAACTGCCGACAAAGGCAACACAAGAAAACTGAGCCCTTCTCAAAAGAGGCAGTCAATCTAATGATCGCAAACCCACCACCAATACCACCAACTGAAGACGATCGTGATAGCGGAAGAAATATGGAAGATACTGAAGAAGGTGATTATGAAGAAGATAACGACAAGGAAGATGACGATGAAGAAGAAGACGAATATGATGATGGAGAAAATGACGACAAACAGTATAATTCTAATTAAAGTCCTTTCTTGTTTTTTTTCTTTATTTTTTTTTCTTCCAAATGTACTTTTCATATAGGCCTTATGGAAGTGGCAGGGGAATACAATATGAGAATTTGGGACCAGTTAGATTAATAGGGGCTCAATACAGTCTTGTAACGTTTTTCTCATTAAAACAATATAAGTTAATTTTGCTAATGTGCGCAATATTTTTTTTACTTTAAATGGCAAGGTAAAACAGATTATAAAATACGAAGTTAATAATAATAAATACGTAATAATAAGATGGATGTAAATGGCATAAAATCAGATTACTATAATTCGGGCATTTTTTACCTTAGAAAAGAAATTCAACCACTAAAATTCATTAAAAAATACAAAGAAAAATAATTTGTGGTCAAAGATTTGTGTGCCATTTAAAAAAAAAAATATTGAGCGAATGCGCAAAATTAACTGTCACAAGAATGGTCTAATAATTAGAATTATTTTAAAATATGTACAATACTGTTTACTAGTCTGCAAAAAAGTCAGAATGAGAAAGAAACTCAATTTTATCTCGGTGTGTGAAAAACATTTGTTGTCACCCAGTAGTACAATCTCAGACAATATGCAACACGAGAAACCCGTATGGACAAATTATATGAAACAATTAGCGTTAACAATCTGCCTTTCATTTGTCCATAAGTAAGAACTTTAACAAGAGTTGCTTTAAATATGAAATAACATCTGGATTAAATGATTTTTATTTTAACTTTTCAAGTTAAAAATGTCTAACTTTCAAACTGAAGCTCTTGACTGCACCTTATGTGCTAATGAGATGTTATTCAAGACTCATTTGTGTTGTTCACTTCTGAAAGATGACTTTTTTGTATCCGGAAGCTGGCATAATATCTGCCATAAAAAAATTATTAAAAATTTCGGTAAACGTCAAAGCATTTGTCAATGAGCAAACAGAAAACTTTATTTAAAATTTGTTCCTAAGCTTACTCATGCACACATAAATCAAGGAAAAAATGTGAATATATTTTGCAGTCATAGATTTTTAGTGAAAGCTGCTGGAATGAGCACTCACTTAGCATTGGGTAAATTACACTTAGAGTCAACATGTACAATTAATGTTATAGATAAAATTGTTTACGTTTTTAATTCTTGTAAAGTACCAAATAGCAAATGCTGGAGAAAACCATTTAAAAATACATCAATAAAAATACAACATATTTCTATGAGACTTACAGTTTTTTGAAAAAAATAAAAGTTATTTCTAAGGTATTAATTGTGACTAGCAGGATGTATTCCATAAACCTTCATGTTGTAGATTTTATTTTACATTAATGTTTAAATATTTCTGATTACCAATTCCTTTTCATATTCAATCAATGTTAAACAGAGTTCAATTACCCTACATCTAAACGAGGAATACATTACCTTGTCGCATGTAGATTTGTACCGGCTTCGTCAATTACAGAATTTGATAGATTTGTACGTAGTAGACAAGCAAAAACGTTTAGCAAATTATCAAAATACTTTCAACACTGCATAATATGACCTGATTAAAAATGATGTCCGTGGTCTGCCGTCCACCTGTCAAAGGAACGAATTTACCAAAAAATATATTCAAAACTATGATTTTAATTATTATAATCACCTACAGAACGATGACACATCATTTGTATATGAAATATTACAATTCCATTTTAACACATTGTCCGATATGATTTTACAAGATCTAATATTATAAAAATATTTAAATATGTATAATTATTGTTTTATTTTTAATAAAACTTTTTTATTCATAAACTTGCTTTTTATTTTAATTACATCTCACCTTAAATCATAAAGAATAGTTTTAATAAGTTTTAGTTTTAATATTATGTTTTAAAAGTAGATTAAATTTGATGGTATAGAGTTGATAACAATGTTAAATTAGAAATTTTTTTCCAACTAACCATAGTTTATGGGTGTTGAAATATACAATTAATATGTAGTACATGTAGTCAGCCTTGACCCGTGTGTACAATATAGTAACTAGTTATGTACGAGCATAATACTCACTCTCTTCACGGATGTAACATGACCTCGGTCGTGCATATATATAGGGCCTTTGATGTATGTAATATTCACTTGCACAGACGCTGTCATACCGAGTGTACGCGGTGTGTGTGTATAGTCACAGTTTAATTGTCCAGTTGTACGTTATTATATATTATACTTATACATAATCATATTGTCGTGTTATTACTTATTATATTAATGCTAACATCATTAGTCCGTCAAGCTTCACTTTCAACAATAGGTTTATGTTTTCCAAGACCTTTAAGTTTTGAATAAATAAAAACATGCATGTATAATAATATTTTGTTTATTAAATGAAACTCATTTTTTTCATATAATAATCAAACGGTCGTCTTGCTTTTAATAGTCTGACGCTTCGGATCGGTTAGTAATTTGTCAAATATGGTTTGCATTGTCTCATGAATACCAGTATGAAGCGTTTGATCTTTTGATTCGTCGCTCGTATACAATCTGACAGTAGCTTCACTGAACTTCCATCTATAACAGCAAATTATTTTATTTTAAAAACAAAAGAAGTAGATAAAATCAGTGATAAAAAAACAGATTCATCAATAGGTTATAGGTTTTTAAATTTAAACCAATGTATTTACCTGCCTTTTAATGGTACATTCTCAATGTTAGCAACCTTATAGTGGCTAATTACCCAAAGCGTCTTTATTGTTACAACACCATCCCCTTGTCTAAATGTCAGCGAATTAATTAACTCGACATCAAATTCTTCTGATCTCAAACGTTCGGTAACATTATCTCTGTATGATGCATTCTATAAAAAAAAAGTTAATTATTTATGCTATCATTATAATAAATATTATTTATATTACCATTTTATTCTGCTTTTTTTTCATAGGTTTTTTCGCACTTGTTTTTTTTTCTGCAGCACGTTTTAGACCCGGTTTTGTTATTGAAAAAGACGGTCTCATATCAATTGATTCGCTGAAATGTTCATTCTATGGAGCATAAAACATGGTATATTATTTTTTACTGTTTTTTCATTATATATTTTCTATGTTCCAAGAATTATAACTTGAGTAATGTCACGACTGACCTCCAATATGCTTTAGTTACTATATAGTTTTTTAAACTATGTTATAATCAGACATTTATTATTATTTTAATAGTAATAGTAGGTGAGATAGTTTCAGGTGAATGGACGAAACCAAGTCTACCTATAAAAAAGTCGGCAGCAGAGACCGACGAGGATGCCAAAGAACGTTGGCAAAGGCATACAAACTCTTGGCAAAAAGCGGACGGTAAATTTCAGAAAATAATAGTTACCTCAGTGGACGATGGTCCATTACAATATTTGATTAACTGTGAGACTGCATTGGAAATGTGGGAGAAACTGCTAAGTATTTACGAGCAGAGGTCTGAGGCAAGTTTACATTTGCTTCAACAACAATTTTTCAGTTATTCAAAGGAGTCGACAGATGACATGTCGACGCATATTTCTAAATTGGTCAATTTAGGAAGGAAACTGAGAGTAGCAGGTGAACCAGTTACGGATAACATGGTTATGACAAAAATACTAATGACATTACCAAAAGAATATAATCATTTTTACAGTGCTTGTGATTCAGTCCCAACGGGAAGTAAAAATATAAATAATTTGACTAGTCGATTGTTGATTGAAGAATCGCGGGTTATCCAGATCAAAGGTGAAGTTGGTGAACAAGAGAAATCGAGTGCATTTCCGGCCAAATTTCAAAACAGATCTGATGGAAGAATCGGCTGTCGTAATTATGGAAAAGGTAAAAATTAATTTACTAATAAAAGTAATATTAAGTGTTATTACTGTGGTAGACTAGGTCATTATAAAAGAGACTGTAGAATTTCAACAATTGTCAACAATTTTATGAGAATTGCCATTGACAGAATCAAAGAGCTTGTCAAAAAATAGGCAAGCATCAGATGTATCTTGAGCACTAGAAGTAAGTATTCCCTTGCCTAAAACAATACATAAAAAAATTTGTAAAATGGATAAAAAGAGCAATATTTTAACATTTACCAGCTAAGAATTTCATCAATGCTGCAACGCGTTGGCTGAAGACCTGAGCTGCCATTTAACCTTCATTTTTTTGATTCTGTCAGGAATTATATGATGGTCCGTAAGCCTTGGTAACATTTTAACTTCATCAATGTTACTGTCGAAATTGTATAGGTCTATCAAGTGTTGCCATTGAGCTTCTTTACTTTGATCGTTCATCATAAACATTAGATTTTTTTGAAGCAAGTTGTTTCTAATGCCTTTAAGTAGATGCGGGCGGGTCGTACAGATGTATAATCTTCACTCTTTCATGATCATTACATTGAATTTCATAAAAATCTTCATTGTAATGTTGATTGTTTTTTAAACAGTAAGCTCGTGTGTCTTCGTGTAACAATTTAATAGCGCCTTCATTGTTAGCACCTTGGTCGCAAATAGTAGCAACAACTTTTAGCCCAGTTTCTTGAATGCTATTCACTATCTTTTTGATCATTGCACATTATTGAAATTTGTTAGTAGATCCTTTTATGAAGGTATAAGCTATAGGCTGTTTGTAGTTTTTGGTGATGCCTTTCACCATAAATAAGAGAGCATGATCCGACGACATGGTAAAGTGAACAATGTTGATAAAAGATTATAACATTTAGGGCTTTTTTTATACAGAGACAAACTTAATATTTTTTCATTAGGTGTGAATCTTCGTCCTTTTTTTTGTTTTTTTTGTTTCTCGAATTTGCAAGTTTGTAAATAATGTAGCAGCTGGTGTGAGTTTTTCAGACAATTTGTCCTGTATATAACGATCTGAGAGTTTTTCAGCAGCTATCAGCCTTTGCTTGAAAGATTTAGATTTTGAAGACTCATACTGCAGTTTTCTTTTTAAAATAATACTATCTGCATATATTGATTTACACCTCGGGGTTAATTTTTTCTTATTATGAACACCAATTTTTGCCAATATCCCTACATTAAAAGAACACAATTTTTAAAATCAATAATTTTTTTTAAAAGGTTAAAAGTATATTGCATTGAGCACTAATTTTGCTGCAATACTGTTGACGTGATACCTACAAATATTTTATAATTAAATAATGTACCTACCATAATCTTATGAACTTCAAACATATAACATAAGAAGTAAAAACTGAAAGAAGCCCAGTTATTAGCCCAGAGAGAAGCCCAAGCCCAGTTTGAAGCCCAACAGAAAGCCCAGTTAAATACTATAGTAGATACCCAGTTAGTAGGTAGCACAAGTAAAACCCAAGTCCACAATTAGGAGTAGTCACACGTAGCAAAGTCACAGAAGGTTTTGAACATCAGTCGTTAAATTCTATATCTAAACCACGCATTAAAAAAATGGCAGTAACCATAAAATTAGAAGACGCTTTCAAATTAATTCCAATATGCACAGGGATAGACGATATCTACCAATTCATAAATGCATGTGATATGGCAGTAGGTTTAGTCGACACAATTAGCGCACCAATATTAGTAAAATATATTACTACACGATTAACGGGTAGAGCATTAGAAATGATTAAATATAAAAACGTAACAAAATGGCAATTTATAAAAGCATATTTAACAGATGCATTCGAAGTGACAACCAATGCATCGTCGTTACAACTTCAATTAAATTCGATTAGAATGTATCACAATGAGGATGCAAATGATTATCCAATGATATCTAAGCTTCTTCAAATATTTATTACACTTCCAGTATCTACTGCCACGGGAGAACGATCGTTTTCAACACTCCGTCGTTTGAAAACTTATTTGAGAAATTCTTCTGGACAAATACGTTTAAATGGTTTAGCCTTACTTAATATTCATCGTGATATTAACGTGGATATTAATGATGTTTTAGATGAACTTGCTAAAAAATCGATACGAAAATTGAATATAAATTTATAGTTTAAAAAAAAAAAATATTTACATATTTCAACTTTTTATAATCAGCGTTGTAAAATAGTTATACACTTATAAAATATTTAATGTATGATAATTTATTATAATAAAAACACACAATTCAATATAATTTTATATGTTACACTTTTATTACCCCCCCCCCCCCCCCGAAAAAAAAAAAAAATTCTGGATACGCCACTGATTACAATTATAGCACTTTATTGCTGACCTATTGATTGGTTGAGAAAAATTGTTTGATAATTATTTGTCCTTACAGGGTTATTTGGTCTAATGTTTTCGTTGTTTCTAGTTTCGTAATTCGGTCTGCGCTGGTTATAATTCTGTGAATAGTTATTCGAATAACTGTTCCTATGCATATGACTTTCCCTTTCCAAATCTAGTTCTACCTGCTCTGACTTTGATAGTTGTTTCGCGATCTCCAAAGTCTTGGGATTACCAGATTTTATTATTGTCCTAATCGGTTCTACTAATCCTTTAATAAATATCGCTAGAGTTTTTTCTCTTAATGTTTCATGTATAACCTTTGCTTCTGCAGGTTCTTTGCCTAATGTACTTACAGTACATAACTGATAATATAGTTTCTCTACTCTATGACAATAATCATTTACATCCTCATTGTGATACATTCTAATGGAATTTAATTGAATCTGTAAAGATGATGCCGTGGTTGTTACCTCAAATGCATCTGTTAAATAAATTTTTATAAACTGCCATTTCGATACATTTTTGTATTTAATCATTTCTAATGCTCTACCCGTTAAACGTGTGGTAATATATTTTACTAGCGTTGGTGCACTGTTTGTGTCGACTAAACTTACTGCCATATCGCATGCATTTATGAATTGATGGATATCGTCTATTCCTGTGCATAGTATAATTAATTTAAAAGCGTCTTCTAATTTTATGGTTACTGCCATTTTTTAGTGCGTGTTATAGGTAAAAATTCTAATGACTGATGTTCAAAACTATCTGTAACTTGGCTACGTGTGATTACTCCTGGACTTGGGTTTCTACTTGCGCTATCTCCTAACCGAGTTTCTACTATAATATTCAACTGGGCTTTCTGTTGGGCTTCAAAATGGGCTTGGGCTTCTTTCTGGGCTAATAACTGGGCTTCTAACTGGGTTTCTTCGTTTACACTAGTGTTATACAATGAATTAGCTGCGTTCAAGGGAGATGTACCTTCTTTGTCCATAAATTACTTAGCTACCTATTTAATACGTTAATACTCATAATAATACTCAAAATGCCCTTTAAATTCAATAATAACTTCAATAATACACCCTCTAATAAATTCAAATAAACTTCAATAATACTTCAATAATAAGAATGCCCTCAATAAATTCAAATAAACTTCAATAATACTTCAATAATAATCAATAAAATATGCCCTCAATAAATCAATAATAACTTCAATAATAAAATATGCCCTCAATAAAATTTAAAACGTTTTACACCATTATACTTATAGTCAACTACTTAGAATTATCTAATATGTCTTAATTATGTTGCATACGTCTATGTAACAAATTTAAATAACTATTCACTCACAATAATGCTGCGTTCATGGCTGACGATGACATGTTGTCGATGTTGATGATGCTGCTGATGGATTTGTTGGTACTGCGTGTGACTTATTTGTTTTTGTTGGTTCCTCCTGGCGTTGTCTTCGCAGAAGAGTGATCAATTCTTCGTTGTTGACAGTATCCTTTGACGGTTTGCCTCCTTTGAAAGAAATCCTACTTCGACTGCGCCAGTGTTACGTATGGCCCTTCAGGGATCCAAAAGCTGTTGCACTTTTACAATAAAATGTAGTCAATTTAAATATAAATCAATTGTAATTTATTAAAACCAATAATAATTAAAATAGTCGTGGAGAATTGCAGAGCCGTGGTTGACTCGTTGTAGTAGTCCATAATCTCCATGTAAGTCGTGTGTAATGGCTGGTGCTGAAGCTGCTCGCTTGGTCTTGGCGGCTGTGGTACATCTAATGTGTATTGGGGCCCTGGCCTCTATATATACGAAGGCGACGCCCTTTGAATTGAGCGGCGCGTGGCATGTAGGCGCCCTTGGGAAGTTGTTGTGGTTTGAAGCGTCTATTCTAGCTATGACTACTTTTGGGTGCGGTCGACGAGGCCGCCTTCCACACAAGTGGTTCTTGTTATTATGAGCGTTGTACATGAATTGCGTAATCCCATTACACTATAATAGGTAGTTACCTATAATAAATTCCAAATTAATCATATCATAATATCCATTAAGTACTTATAACGCGTTATACACCAACAAAAACCGTGATACTATCATAGATATATAATAGTACACTTTAGAAGTTTCAAGTACCCACGAATAATATTATTCAATCACAACTAAATAACTAAAATAGTTATTCTAGGTTTTTTAATATGTATTTCATTCAAATTTGAATTTAAAATGTCTGTAAAAAATAACTGTGTCCATATATTTTTTAGATCTTTTTGGTTACAGTAACACCTATTTATGAGAACCTTTGTTTTAAATTTGCAATCCTTAGCTATAAAAACTGAACATTTTATAATTTATTAATTACAATGATTGATAATTTTCGAGTTTTTGATACATTTTGTCAAAATTTCAACTTTAAATGCTTATAAAAAAGAATTGTGCCTATGTATTTTCAATGTTTTTGAACTGATATTGTAACAATATATCTGGAGCCTTGAATTACATTTTTACAGTTTTTGGCCCAACAGATAAAACTTAATTGATATTTATAGAAAAAAAAAACTAAAAAAATTGAAAACTGAAAATGTCCGTAATCAGCTCAACAAGAGTCAAAATATTTTCAAAATTGTATGGTGTATAGAAAATGCTAATTTAACCATTCAGTGAAATTTGCATGTATCTACAGTTTATCGTTTTTGAAAACCGATTTTGTGTAAAAATTCCTGTTTTTCCTTTATTTTTATGTTGTTTTTCGCGGCGCTTGTGAAAACTACTGAAACATTTTTGACCCCCCAAAGTACCAACTAGATTCACTTTCCTATCAGAAAAGCTACTGTTGAAGAAAATCCAAGCACTTTTACTGTCCTAAAACGTGATGATACACATAAAAAAAAAAAAAACACACATCATTGTAAAATCAATACATTTATCGTTTCACTCAAAATCTAAAAAATGTCTCAAAACAATTCAAAATAAATTTTTATAAACGTTTGAAGATCTTATTTTTAGAACATTGGATATTGACTCAATTTCTCATGTAACAATTTTCTTATTTTTGTTTTAGTTCAAAAACAAACATTTAAAAAATTGTATTTCTTGACCAGTCACGGATCCACGGCTCTAATTCTTAAAATATGACTTAATAAAATTACGTGTAATATATTAAGTAAAAATAAGAAATGCTGCAGGTTTTTGTGGCCCATAAGTGGTTTTGTAATACATTTTTTGAAGTTCGGCGGCACTGTATACCTACTGGTGATTTTTCAAGCACGAACGCCCTGCACCACTTTTTTCTTACAAAAAACAATATACATACCTACATAATTGTATTACTGAATGTATAAGTGTTTCCATGGTATTGGTAATTTATGTTACTATAAATGTTGCAGCATGGCTGAAACCGTATTGTCGTCCAACACCATTTTTGAAGAAATAAATGGGATCACGTCTGCAGGGACTTTTGCCGTGGCGCATTGCATGTCGGAAGACTTCCTAATGAGTAGGAGTGTTGCTGTGCAATTTAAGTAAGTACTAAGTTTAATATACATTTTTCATATCTATTACAGTCATTTTTCAAAAATATAAATGACGTACTAAATTATAGGTACCTATATTAACCAACCTTTTAGTACACCGTTTGATTCGAACCGAGCATGATGTATTAGTTGTCCTTATTGTAATATTCAGTCGTTAAAAACGTGTTTTTTTAAAAATATTTTCGTTTCGTAAAATGTTATTTTCCAAAAATTTAGATTTGGTTAAATACTTATTAAACGTATTTCAAATACATATTCCGAATACTTAAAAAAAAGTATTCAGAATATGTACCGTAATTGTGGGTGAATAGAAACAAAATTTCGAAATAAGTTTCATTGACCAATAACTACGGTCCAAGTATAACTATTTTTATAAGTTTTTGATTTATTACATTGGTTATGTTATGAAAAATCGAATTAAATTGATACTTTTTTACCTCCATAAAAATTGTCGATAAGAAAATTGATAGGAGTAAAAATTATTTTACCTCCAAAAAATGTGTATCAACTTTGTTATCATGGTTCTCATGGACGAATTGTGATAACTCCAAATTTTTTTTTTCACTTTTCGGCGTTGTTGCGGAAAATTAATTAACGTAAGTATCAATCCTGTTTAATGAATTACTGATTTTTTATAATTTTTTTATCAAAACATTTTGTTTTCCGGGTGAATAGAAACATGCCAAAAGTATATAAGCCAGATCCGCGCGGCAAGCGTTATCAAAAACCTAACAAATCTGATTTAGCTAATGCTGTTGCTGCTGTCAAACTCAAGAAGATGTCCTACAGAGAAGCTGAGTCAGTTTACGGTATAAATTATTCTGTTATTTACAGACATGTTAAAAACCCGGAGATCAAAACACAAGGAGGCCAAACATCACTTTCTAAAGAAGAAGAGAATTTAATTGTATCAGGTATTTTGTTTTGCGCTAAATGGGGTTATCCGATTGGCAGATTCGATTTAAGATTATTAGTTAATGGATATCTTGAACGCCGGGGAAAAAAGGTTAAAAAGTTTAAAAATGGTACTATGCCTGGTCGAGATTGGGCAGATAGTTTTCTCACCAGACATAAAAATATTTTAGCCGTTAGAATGTGTCAGAATATAAAACGTTCTCGGGCAGGTGTTACTAGAAGTAAAATCAATTCATATTTTGATAACCTTACAAATTCACTTGATGGTGTATCACCATCTAACATATTGAATTACGATGAAACAAACTTAACAGATGACCCCGATCGTCGAAAAATTATAACTAAACGTGGTACAAAATATCCAGAAAGGGTAATGAATAATAGTAAAACATCAAATTCTGTCATGTTTGCTGGTACGGCAGATGGTATATTGTTCCCACCTTTTACTGTTTATAAGGCAAAAACAATATCTGACAGTTGGCGCTTAGGTGGTCCAAAAGGATCAAGATATGCATCAAGCCAATTTGGATGGTTTGACAGTTACTCATTTGATGACTGGATTAAAATTATTTCTATACCATACTTGAAAAATTTACCTGGGAGAAAGATATTAATAGGTGACAATTTATCCAGTCACATTTCAATGGAATCAATTAAAGCTTTTAAAGAACATAATATTTCATTTGCTTTTTACCTGTAAACTCTACTCATCTTACCCAGCCACTTGATGTTGCCTTTTTAGGCCACTGAAGTGTCATTGGCGTATTTTAATGGAAAACTGTAAAAATGGGGATGGAAGGAATGAGTGTTTGGTGCCTAAACTGATCGTTTTCCAATATTTTCTCAATATTTTAATGAAAAAAATATCAGAAAATTGTGCTAATAATTTAAAATCGGGTTTCGAAAAATGTGGAATATACCCTCTAAATCGTGACAAGGTATTAAATATGTTGCCAGTAGAATATGATGACCTAGATGTTTCTGATCATGTCAACAGTAGTTTAAAAGAATTTTTAAAATCTATGAGAAGTACTGAAACAACAAATGTGCGTCAAAAGAGAAAAAAATTGAATGTTCAACCAGGACAAAGTGTTGAGGTTGTGGAGAGTTCTAATTCTGAACTTGGAGATCAATCTGATTCTTCCAGTACAGTTGACCAACCAGAAGATGTTGTTGATTCTATTATATCCCCAGCAGTAATTTCAGATGATAGCTCAGATGAAGAAGATGATGGTGATGTAAATATTGAGACTTTACCACATGTTATAAAATACAATCAACGTTTTGACAATGTCCATCATATTTCTCAAATGACTGATGTAAAAGATGGAATGTGGTTACTAGTTAGTTTCGAGATCATATCAAAAAAAGCAACAACTAGTAAGAAAATCTATAAGTATTATGTTTGTAAAGTTTTAAAATGTGATCATGGTGAGTTTATTGGTACATTTTTAAGAAACATCAACACAAGAGACCATTTTGGATTTATATATGGGTTCCCAAATGTTACAGACGAATTTACATTAAGTTTCTTCCAAATAGTTGGTAAGCTGAATGACCCTGAACCATATTAAAGAGGTTTATTTAAATTTCAAATTAACTACAAATCATTATAAGTATTTGTTATATAAATTGTACATTTACTTACCTATATTCTTAATACCAAGGTAGGTATGTTTAAAGTATCCAAAGAAGGCTTTACTTTAATAAGTTAATATAAGAAAAATAAAGGCTATTAAATTCAAAGACTGAATTTATTATTTTATTTGTTAAATTGTTTAAAATGTTGTTTTGTAAGTTTATATAATTAAATTAGTTAATATAAGAAACTTAAAAAGACTATTAAATTCAAAGACTGAATAAATTATTTTAATTGTTAAATAAAAAAAAATACTGTTATTAAAATAAAATATGTTTAAAATGTTGTTTTTCATAAAATAAAGGCTATAAGTAAGTTATTTGAACGCTTTTTTTTTTAAAAAAAATTAAAAATTATGTTTCTATTCAACCTCAATACAGTTGAATAACAAATTGTATGAATACTAGGCAGCTGTTTTTTTTCACCCACACCTGCGGGTGAATAGAAACAGCGTACTTCAAAAAATTTATAAAATCAAATTTTATAGTTGGATAACCGTTAAAAATTCTATCATGTAGTACACGGTGAGACCCAAATTTTGATGTAATTCACAGCATTGTACATATTTTAGATCCAGAGATATAACACCTGAAAGGTGTAAACCTGTTTCTATTCACCCACAATTACGGTATTCGAATACTGTATGATAATAATATTCTTAAGTATTCGTAATACTTCACAAAAAGTATTCCAAATATTTTTCGAATAATTTTTTTTAGATGATTTAGGTAGATTTTAATAGCAAAATAATATTTTTTTCAATTTTATGTTTATAAATCAACACTACTATAAATATACAACAACCACCATTATAAACTCGATAATACACACCTATCTGGCTATCTATTACTTATAAATTATATTCAAATTAATATAGTTAATAAGTAATAACTAATAATTAGTAATATATAAGAGTATACCTATATGTAAGAAAAAAATTTCCGAATACCGTAAAAATATTTGTCGTTTTTCATAAATATTAGGGACAAGTTTCTGAAGGCACAATCTGTCTCAGGCAAATCATCAACTCCTTTCCGATCTCTCTCGCCATACCCTTAATTTTAGAATTCTCACATAGGAGGGGGCGTAAAAAAATTGATTGTCACTCAAGGGGGTGTTAACATAAAAAAGGTTAAGAAACACTGTACTAAACAGTTAAAAATGTATATTTCGAAGTTAAAATTAAAAAAGGTGGGTAAGTGGATGTCGCTCTGCTGTACAGTAGGTTACAAGTGGGTCACTGTAAAATGGATGCTATTAAATTTGAATTCAATGATACAATATCATTGTATGAGAAAAACGATTCTGAGCGAAGAAATGTTCTGAATGTCTAGGTTTAAGACAAACTATATACATATCGATGGTATTAAAAAAAAAATTGACGTATAATAAATTCCAAATTAATCATATCACATTATCACAATATCCATTAGGTACTTATAACACGTTATACATCAACATTAATAACAAACCCTGATACTATCATAGATATATCATAGGTGGCACTCATTGGGGGGGTCATAAGGGGGCAGTTGCCTAATGTATACTTTTGCACCCCCCAAAATAAATTAACGAAAAAACCTGTTATTTCAATCTTTTATTGATGAACGCCGAAAAGTTGAATTTAATTTAAAATAGTTAATGATATTCCCTCTATAATTTTAATTTTTGATGTAAAACAAGAAAATAGTTTTTGGAATTCCAAATTTGAAACTGATTAAGAAGAATATTAGAATTTATTATACTCATGTTAATTGAATAATCGAATATTGATAAAATGATAATAATTGTTATCAAAATTAATTCATCTAGAAAACATATGTTTTGCTGTTATGGCGTTATCAACTTATCAATCATTTAATTTTTGAATATTGAACTGTCATTTCTCAAGCGATCGATGATTCAATATGTGTTGCAAACGTGTGTAAATATTTAATTAATGGCACTTGTTTTTTTTCAACAGTTTGATGAAACCGAAGCTATTAATTTATTTCACATTTTATTGATTTCTAAAATGTCTGAAAAAAGAAAACGTACTTCCTATATAAATATAACAGAGTTTTTTAAAAAGACGACCAAAGTTTATCAAGGTTAGTACTAACTACTAAGTAATATAGTAAAATCTAAAAATGATTATAGAAATCTATACACATTGTAGTTGTGGTAGTAATGTACATTTTACACAATTATGTTAGTTTAGAACAGGGGTCGGCAACCCGCGGCCCGCATAGCAATTTTATGCGGCCCGCGATAATAATTTATAGTTAGTTTAAAAATATTATACAACACGTAATCTTTGCTGATAAAAATTGGCATTTCTCACTAGAAGTTAGTTGTACAATTATTGAACAAAAATAGATATTATGTATAGAAACATTGTACACGTTATCTACGTTTCGTTAAACATCAATAATAATTTATTATACAAAACGAAATACGACTTAGTATTACTGACTCAATTTTCTAGTGAAGTGTAATCGTCTCAGTTCTGTATTTCAAATTTTTGTACGTGTAACTCTATATGGCTCCTAAACGAAAAATTAACGATGATCATAGTATTTTTAAATAAGATTGGACCGAACTTTTCTTTTTTATCGAACACGATGGTAAGTTATTATGTTTAATTTGTAATAAAACCATAACAGTAATGAAAGAATACAACGTCAGGCGACATTACGATAATGAGCATAAAACAAAATTTGAAAACTTAACTTCTTCTTGTCGTGTCCGATAATAAAAAAATGCCAATAGCAATTGTATAAAATAAAATAAAATAAAATAAAATAATTACATCAAATAAAATACTAATAATAGTAATAATACAGAAAATATACAATAAATTAATTTGGTACGTCTAATAAATCACATTTTTGGTAACGTTCTATATGTTGTGTTGCGACCAATAAGCGGCTACCTCTATTGCATTTGTGTTTGTCAGAATCAGATCTTCCCTGGTGCATTGTGCTGTACTCATGGTACATGACAGGAGGTGTTCATCGGTCTGTCGTTCTCCACAGTCGCATGAGTCATCTTCTCCATTAAATTTCCATTTTACCATGTTAGCTTTCGTCCTCGCCACCCCGGCTTTCAATCTATAAAGAGTTTTCCATAATGGCCATGGAAGGTGTCCACCCATTGGGAGTTGTTGTTTAATCTGAGTCAGTTCTTCCGGTTGTAGCTCATCTTGCCACCTTTGCAATCTAGCTTTTTGGGGGGATTCGTGCAGTTCTTTTGCCGTTTGCATAAAGCTTTTTCGGGATTTAAGTCTTGTATTCGCGATTTCATGTCCGAACATAGGATGTCTTTCGTCCTTTATCTGTTTGGTTTTTTCTATATCGGTGGTTACTCGTCTTCTAATTTCAGGTGGAGCTATGCCTGCTAGAAGGTATAGCTTGTTTGTAGGCGTTGGTCTAAGACATCCCGTTATGATTCTACAGGTATCGTTCAGAGCTACAGATACATTTTTGGCGTGTTTGGATTGGCTCCACACTGGACACGCATATTCTCCAGTTGAGAAGCATAGGGCTATTCCTGTTGTTCGCATGGTGTGAGTTCGTGCCCCCCATTGGCTTCCAGCAAGTTTTCTAAGTAGGTTGTTCCTTGCTTGCACTTTCATTTTAGTTTTCGAACAGTGCTCCTTAAATGTCAATGTCCTGTCTAGGGTGACACCAAGATACACGGGGTAGTCTGTGTTGTGTAGTGTTTTTCCCAGCCATTCTATATTAAGGTGTTTCTTGGCAGTAGTATAAATTTGCCAATCCTAGGACCGCCACCGCCACACCACCACCACCACCACCACCAATACCTCTCCACTTCACTACCACCTCAAACTTCACCGCCCAGCCATAGATAGCCCGCCACCTCTCCACTTCACCGCCCAGCCATAGATAGCCCGCCACCTCTCCACTTCACCGGCCAGCCATAGATAGCCCGCTACCGACACCGCCTCACCCCTACTTCACCACCACCACCGCCACCGTCAACAGCCCGATCGCGTACGTGCGCTACTATGCGTTATCATATTACCGTTAACACTTGTACATTACCGCGAGCAGTTCTGCCCTAAACTGATATCACTTATCACATTACTGTTAACAAATAATAATACGAGTGCACATGTATAACAGGATATCCGCATATAATTGTGCAACACACTACCTTTATTATATATATATATATACATGTAAATGCTAAACACATTATATACCTAATCCACCTGGATATGCCGGTGACATATTATAGATCAAAGAATCTGCATGGAATTGCATAGTAAGCATTATGTCTTCTCTAAGCAAGATGTTTTCTCACACTTACATATATATTTTTTCGTTGTTGTCAAGCATTTCCATGCTTAAATTCCTTCCATTAAAATAATGACAAATTATTTTATTAAATCAGTATGATACGTAATTTATACTAAAAACGTTCAGTGTTATTTCAATATCAAAATGTTCAATTTCGAAGCGGTATTTTTGTATTTTTTTTATAAACACACTAGGATTTGGTCGACGTCGTCCTCGAAATGAATTCGACATTCTTCTGTTATTCCCACCGTAAGTTTAATATTATTATTATTTTTATTATATTAATTAATTATACTAATTTATCATAGTGTTGACGAGCAAACAACTGATGACGAGCAAACAACTGATGACGAACAATCAACAGATGATGAGCTATTTACACCGTAAGTTTAATATTCTTATTAATATTATTGTTTTCTAATATTTAAAAATATTTATAGTAGTGACGATGAAGAAATGTCCGAAGTGTATTCACCTGATATATCATCTGATGAAGATTTGTAATAATTGTCAAAAGTTTTTTTTTTTTTTTTACGAATTTTTATTTTACAAATATATAATACGTGTTATGTACAAACTTCTAACATCATTTTTTCATCATCGGCGTAATGTTTACCCCAGACAAATTTTTCCAGTGCTTCAAGACATAGTTTGTCAGCTTCTTCACCTCCCCAAAAGTCCACATCATTTGGTTTTCCTTTGATGGTTATATCCTCAGATTTATGCTCAATATCTTTTATAGTCTATAACAACATATAACGTCATTAAGGTAAGTGCTACATTATTAATCAATATTATATCATACTAACTTCGTCAACTGTTTCCTCTGGGCTTAATAAAATTGCTATAATAGACTCGTCTCGGTGTATTTGATAGCTACAAAATGTATTATTTTTTAATTATATGCAAATAATATATTATACTTAATTAAACTTACCATTTGATCAAACTCGCCATTATCTAAAAAGTCAATAAAGCCTGACGAAATATCAGGTGTGTTTATATCAGATACCTGACTATCGTTGTTGTCTGACATTTTTAAAATAATATTTCACATCAACTGACAAACTAACAGTGCACTGAGATTTATCATAAGTATTATGTTTCGAGAAAAATTAAAACAACAATAAGCATTTTTTTCAAAACATATGTCACCCATAATATTTATAACACTATATAAAATCTCACCCACACACACACACACACACACACACACGCAATATTATGTTTAAGAGAAAAAAAAAATGCATTTAAGCAAAAATCTTTGAAACGTGTATAAAAAAATTATTATTTGTCTCGACCATTATCAGATGCGTTAGTAACGATCCGTCAGTCATTTGTGTCACAGGTTACTTCTATTTTGTGCATATTAAAAATGTTTAAGTGCGATCAGTGTAATTGTACTTTCTCGAGGAATGACTCTTTAAACAGACATTTAAAGTGTCATAATAATACCATTGAAGCTTTTAAGTGTATTATATGCAACACTGTTTTTAGCAGAAAGGATGCTCTCAGACGACACGAGAAAAGTATTCATGGTGAGTAAATTTATCGGCGGGAATAATTTTTTTTATCTACAACGATAAGCCAAGTACACGACGGTTAGGTACTCAGTATCATGGATTCGATCAACATGACGCGACAGTTGTCTCTTTCGTTTACATGTTGCGGGCAGTACCGGGTGATAATCTTTTATCAATTTATTTAATAAACGTTATTCGAATACTAGTGTCATATAATAAAGACATAGTGAGCGTTTTAAGGGGTTTAGCTTATACAAACACATGTACATGGTTGTAGTATATAAGAAATATAGCGCATTTTAAATAATATATTATCGTTCCATTTTAGGTTTGTTAAACAGTAACGCACAGCCAGTTACAAGTACAGCAGCAACTACAAGTAAGAAAGAATTATATATTTATGTATAATTTAGTGTTTAATATTTTACATAATATGATATCACTTTTAAAGATGTTGATGGTGTTAGATAAGACTGAAAAAAGTGGATCGCGTGAAAGTATATATATAGTAAATATATCGTGTTTAATTAAAATTTTTTATTGTAGATGATAACAACGCGTTTAATGATAATTTAATGTATGAAAACAGCAGTGATGGCTATTGTATTGATGTGTTGGATAAGGTTGAACATAATGAGATGCGTAAAAGTATGTTATATTAAATAGATAGGTATATATTGATTCACAAATAATTATTATTATTTGTTTAGATATTGACAATATTACGTTTGAAGAAGACGACGATAGTTATTCTATTGATGTGTTAAATAAAGCAGAAAATAATGGATTATGTAAAAGTATTAAATATTAATTTATGCATTTAATATGATAAATATATATTGATTTATTTTTTAGCTGATAACAATGAACCGGAAATTATTGAAATAGCCCCAAACATTTTCGTCGAGAATATACAAGCTGCATCTTCAAAACAAAGTACATAATATTTAATATAAATATATTTTATTTGTTATATAAAACTTATAAATTATTTAGGTAAACGTAAATATACTGAAAATTCTTTGCCTAATGTACAAAATAAACGTGCACGAATGAACGCAACAACAACATCATCGAAATTCGTCAAAACAAAGTCTGCGTTTAAGGGGCTTTGTACCGAATATATCAAAAAAAAACATTGACAATATTAAAGACGTCCTAGAATTTTTAGAAATGTCAAAGCCTGAAATAGTTGAAATAATCGACGGTGCACTTCGTCAGTCGCCGATAAAATATAATATTAAACTGGAGGCTACATACATTAAACCGCACACCGAAATAAAAAAAAATCGCGGCTTTAAGACCAGGGCAAGGCCAATATTTAACGACTATAATATAAACGAAATGTTAGAAATAGATTTTAACACTATACTTAAAGAACAGGAAATAATGGCGCTTAAAGGCAGCGGATTTACATTAGATAGTATAGACGGTCTAATATTAAATATAAATCGACTTACACCTTTAGGAGGCGCATCATATACGCCATTACCGGAATTCATCGAAAACAAAAAAGCAACCGTTAATGTACAAAATAACGATAACAAGTGCTTTAAATATAGCATATTAGCGAAACATGTAAATCCCGTGCATGCCGAGAGAATAGGACGAAATTATACAGAAGTCGAACATATCTATGACTTTTCCAAAATAAATTTCCCCGTAACAATGAAAGATATCGACAAATTTGAAAAAATAAATAATGTATCGGTTAATGTATATAGCATAAAACAAGGCGATCCTACACATAAAAATAATGTAAAAAAATTTTCAAAAAGAAAAATGGTTCAAAAAAAAATATGTAATTACACGATATATCATCCCATAAAAGTGTGTGAAGTCGAAAGAACTGACCCCCATGATTTATTGTTATTTGGAGACGGCACGGGTAACGAGCATTACTGTCAAATAATAAATCTATCTAAATTGGTTGGTTCACAAATGTCGCAAAACGGTCACGTTGTGTTAATATGTAAGCGCTGTTTCAAGTCATACTTTGGAATTAACCGCTGTGGAGTTAGCGCGGAACAGCAACTTAAAGATCACAAACTGAATTGCGACAAAACTAAGCCGCTACTACCAGTACTTCCAAGTACAAACACTTTTATGAAATTTGAAAATTTTAATCGCACACGGAAGCATCCATTTGCCATATATGCTGACTTTGAGGCAATTTTAGAAAAAAACGATGAAGAAAATATAAATTATAAAAATACTAGAATTATTCACCACCATGATGTTATGAGCTATTGTTACTATGTAAAACCAAACGACGATATACCTACGGAGTTGTTGGAAAAATATGACATAGAGACTGACGCGGTCCCGCGCAAAATCTGTTTGAATTGAAACAGCCATTGCGCGGAAGCCGCGCCGCGGCTTCTCTATCAAACCGCCAATCGACGACGGACGACGCCGGAGCGCGACACGCGCGCCTGGAACCGTTGGCCGGCCGTCCGGCGAACCGGATTGTGAAGGCGAGCTCTCTCGTCTTCGCGATACCGACCTGGACACACGACAGCGGTACACACACATTCTGTGAAATTCCGAACTCTAGAAACTGTCAGAAAACATTGAATGTGTTCTTTTTGTTTTTTTGTTTGACTCGCGTCGCTGACAATAATAAACGGTTAATCACCTCTCAGTGCGACGTTCGTTGTTTTTATTTTATTTTCTATTCTTTTATTATACCATCTGTTTGTTCCGATCTGACTGTCCCGTCGGTCACCACCACATCAACACCCACGCGGCACAAGACAAGTCCGCGTCAACTGGCTCCCCGAACAGGA